TTGCTCTGTTCTGACGACTGCCTCCTGGTCCAAGTATAAGTTTTGCACTAGAACGATCAAGTGTTCTGGGATTCTCATTCTTCTCAGTTAGATACTAATTTATAGAATCATTGCTCCTGCATGCTTCGTAGTATTCCATCGTGTGAATGTACCATAATTTCTCAGTCCCAAGTGTGGTTGGACATTTGGGCTGTTATGTGAACTAGGTCAGACCCAGAAGGACAAATACTGTATATAAAACAATTATTGTAGAACATGTATGAATGTATGAGGATCCAAGGGGGGGAGGATGGGAGCAGAGTGTGGTGGTTAATTATAGGGTCACACAATTTGATTGGTGGAAGGGTGAGTAAAAGAAATGAGAAAGATCCGGTGTAAAAAACAATATATACAATCTTTGTAGGTAAACCAGTATAAAAGAAAAAAATTATTTTTCTTTAAAAAAATGTACTCACAGATGTACTTGATCGTGCTAATAAGAAACCTCTACTGGGACCAAGAGGCAGTCGTCAGAACAGAGCAAGGAAACATTTCATGATTCAAAATTGGGAAGGATGTACACCAGGGATGTGTCTTATCACCATACCTTTTCAACATGTATGCAGAACAGATTATCTGGGAGGCTGGGCTCTATGAGGAGAAATATGGGGTCAAGATTGGTGGAAGATCTATCAACAATCTGCGATATGCAGATGATACAACCCTGCTTGCTGAAAATGAAGAGGACCTGAAGCACCTGCTGCAGAGTGTCAAGGACTGCAGCCTCCAATATGAATTGAGACTCAACGTCAAAAGACAAAAATTCTCACCACTGGACCAACTGGCAGCATTAGGATGGATGGTGAAGAGACTGAGATTGTTCACAGCTTCAGTTTGCTTGGCTCCACAGTCAACACTCTTGGAACCAGCAGCCAAGAAATTAAAAGACGTATTGGGATGGGAAAGTCTGCTGTTAGGGACCTCTCCAAAGTAGTGAAGAGCAATGGTGTCACTCTGGAGACTAAGGTGCGTCTGATACAGGACATGGTCTTTTGTAGTGAACCACACAGCCGCCATATTCTGCAAATCTCCATTTTGTGCCAGGTTCGAAAGTGCAGAACTGTTCATCATTATGGTTTGATGTTTGAAGGGAAATAGAGACAATTTTAACTGTTCCTTGAACCCTAGGACTAAGCAGGGATGTGGATAATTGAATGTCCCTCCCTAGAGACTCTGTTTATACTCAAATGCTAATGGTCTTGCCTGCTGCTTGATAAAGAGAGCAAACAGCCTTTTTAGCAGGTAAATCTCAATGTACTGTCAACCATGAGGCAGAGTTATTTTTCTGTTCACTGCAAAATGAGTATAAAAAGGCTGGAAAAAAAATAAACCCAGTGCTACAGAAATTTTTCTGTATGCCACTCTTAACTCTCTCTTGTGTATTATATTTCCTCATTCCGTACTCCTCCTCATCCTAACCCTGTTCGTGTTGACCTGCAGGCTCCAGTCAGTCCTGTTATGCGTCAGAGAGTTGGACCATGACTTAGGGAGGATAGAAGGAGAATTGATGCCTTTGAGCTGTGGTGCTGGAGAAGAGTATTCAGAATACCATGGACTGCTAGGAAAACAAACAGATTTGTCCTGGAAAGGGTTAAACTGGGTGGCTCCTTGGAGGTAAGGATTCTGAAGCTTCATCTGACATACTTTGGACATGTTGTAAGGAGGGACAGGTCCTTGGAGAGGGACATCATGCTTGGGAGGGTGGAGAGACAGCGCAGGAGGGGAAGACCCTCTATGAGGTGGGTTGATTTAGTGACTGGGGTAATAAGGGTGGGTGTATTGGATGCAGTAAGATTGGCACAGGTCAGGGCAGGGTTTAGGGTTGTTGTACATAGGGTCGCTATGAGTGGCAGGCGACTCGATGGCACATAACAACAACAACAACAACAACAACCCACAGAAAAAGGCATAGGAGTGTCAAGCTCTGACAGGAGGATGATGAGAAAGTGAGAAATTAATATAGGCAAAAAAAATTTGTGTTTATGGCAGCATTGTTTGTAGTAGAAGGAAAAGAAGAAAACATTAACCTAGAAATGTTTCTATAAAATGGAACAAGTATTTAACCTCGCCCCCCCCCAACCAATTCTAGGCAATAGTCTTTAGCAGTTCCATTAAAGATGTAAACACAGGTTAAAATTAAAAAGAGCTTCGCGGTTCGAGTTCACCATGTGCTCTGCTGGAGAAGGAGGGACAATCTCCTCCTGTACCAGTCAGATCCGATTTGACGGTACACGCACAAAAAAATTTAAAAAAAACAAAAAAGCTTCGTGAAAAATGCAAGCTGTTGCGCAATAGTGAACTATGATCCTAATTATATTAAAGAAATCCAGTCTCCAGTCCCTCCCAAGTTAGGTAATAATTTACAAAATCATTGTTCCTGCCTGCTGTGTAGTATTCCATTGTGTGAATGTACCATAATTTCTTAGTACATTCTTTTATGTTTGGACATGTGAGCTGTTTCTGCGTTTTTGTGACGGTGAATAATGCTGCTATCAATATTGTTGTACAAGTCTCCGTTTGTGCCTCAGTTCTCATTTTCTCAGGGTATATTCCAAGTAGTGGAATAGTGCAGGGGAAGGGGGATTAATCATGGGTTGTACTATTTGATGAGTGGGGGCTGGGGGAAAGAAGGAAATTGGAAGACTCTGTTCTGGCAAACAAAGTATTAGAATTTTGTAAATAAACTAGTATAATAACTACAATATTATAAAAAGGAATCCAATCTCATTGAATATGTGCATTTATTTACTGTATTTGTACGGACTAAAGTGGTCTTTTGGAGGTTCCTCACCAAACTGCTAGATAGTAGTCTATCTGTGAAGCTTTAGATTATGACTGGCACATAAAAGTGGTATGAGTGGTCTGTTTTTTTGTATGCCAGCACATTCAAAGATTATATCTGTCATGTGACAGGAAAGTATTCGCAAAGGGGCGTTCCATGAGCGATGACTGTGCTAGAATCAGTACGGACGGCTGCTGCAGGCGGCCCTAGCCGGAGGACCGGTCCCTATGGCGTTTGTGACGTCATTTGAAGTCGCCGGGTGTTATTATACCCACCTTCCGGAAGAAAGCTCCTGGTGGAACATGGCGACTGCTGCAGAGCAGTGGGTACTTGTGGAGATGGTGCAGGCGCTATACGAGGTGAGCTGCGAAGCCGAAGTGGCCGGTAGGCTCGTGCGAACTTATAGAGGAGGCCTTTGTGGGCTGAGGGGCGACACCCGGACTCAGCGATCCTCTGGTTAATGCTTACAGGCGAAGGCCCTGTTCTGCACTTAGCAGCCAGAATTGAAAGTGACAAGGTTTTGAAAATAAAAGTGAGAAATCCCTATATTGGAGATCTTAGGGAAGTCAGGTTTTTGGAGTTGTGAAGTAGTTAATAGAGAAAAGAACAGATTAGATTCCTTGTCGGGGGTGGGAGGGCGTTATAAAAGAAACCTATTATTTCGAATTTACGGAAATAAAATTTTGTCTTTCTGCGTACGTCTCCAGCTTTCTAATAGTAATCGGACAGCCTCCAAAAGAAAGAGTAGTTAAAGCTTCTTTAAAAGTAAACTTAAATAACTATCTCTGAATAGTGGACACGGAATTCACAACATAGATCTATACTGCAGATACAGTGCAGGGAACAAACAGGCTTAAGAGCTCGTGCTTATAACAGTCATTTAAAGATTATTTGTTGCTTACTGAAAGAGATAATGGAGGTGTCATTTTTTTTCTTCTGGAAAACGATTGAGAGAGAATAAGGCTTGGCTCCTAACCTATATTGTTAAGGTGATGTGGAGCATTAATTATAGTGATTAAGGTAACTCACCTGCCTTGCGTAGATTGTGAGTCATGACAACCCTTCATTGAGTTTCTAATGCTGTGAATCTTAACAGGCACAGATTTCCTCATCTTTGTTCCTCGGTTCAACTGCTGGGTTCAAACTGATGACTTTCCCATTAGCAGCCCCACACATACTTAACTCACTATGTCACCAGCGCTAAGAACTACCAAAGTCAAATTTTTAATTAAAATTTTCCATAATGCATTTCTTACCTTTTGAAAATGAATTAATAATTAGTGAAAGTAGCCTAAAGTGATATTTGTGAAAAGTTCTCTCCTATGAGTAACAACACTTTCTGGGGAGGAAACGGAGCAGTATTTGTGGTTTTTCAATAATTTACTAAACAAGCAGTCTTTGACTGTCATGTTTTTTGTTGTCTGATTTTGTTATGTGTGTGTGTAGTAGATTTTGTATGCTAGAATCCAAGTTTTGAGAAAATCAAAGAGATCCTTAATTCCCAAGTTAATTGGATTCAGGAGGGCCAAGAACGAATAATTATTAATGAGATACCTATTTTAGTTCCCAATTTCTGTGCATTTTTATGTAGACTTTAAGGAGTCTTTGTCCCACATTGAAACAATAATAACTGTGTGTGCACATGAATGTATATGTCTGCATGTTAGTGTCTTTTGTATGTATTTTCAGAATTATTTGTGTATTAGCTTGAATGTTTACATAAGACTTTGTCAGCAGTTTCTTTAAGTTTTCAAATTCTAGACTTGAAAAAAAGAAAAACTATGGTGAATCAATATCACTTACTTTGGTGTTTGAAAAGAATTTGTGCTTAAGTTTGTAAATACTTCTTTAAATGACTTTCCAGTGACAGCCTTTGGAATTGAGCCCTTTTAACTGGGGTTTTAGTTAAACATAGTTTCTTCCCTACTCAGTGATCGCCAGTTACACATAATCTAAAAATTAGCCTGGTCTTTAACGTGGACATTCCCACTTGGAAATAAGACCAAAGATAGATAATTTCATTGAAATAACTTTATGCCTATAGACATAGAACACACTGCATACTTTAGAGGAATATAGTACAAAAGAGGTAACTAAGCATTTATAAAGTCAGAGGCTTGCATGCAAAGGGTAGAGAGGATGTAATGGATTTGTAACACTTTTGAAGAACTGTGAAAACTGGCTTCTAAAAACTCTCTTAATGCATCCAAGGGTAATTGAAGGTTTCTTAAGCTCATCTCATAAGATGTGTTCCAATCATTTTTCACCAATAAACATTTAAATTATCTTTAAGATCTGATAATTGCTTTTCTTTTACATACTGGACATGGAATTTTGAGCCAGCTTTCATGGAAGGGGAAAAAAGTAATGAGTTGGTGGTGGGGGGGAGGGATATGGGGATGTCGCTTATCTAGGTTAAAGGTCATAGGACAATCTATGCAAGCTCAATGAATTCTTTTTTTTTTAGTAATATTTGTATGTGTGTTTCCCAATTTCCTTCATTCACATTTTGTTTCATACAATCATTCCCATACATTGTGTTAAGATTCATCTGCATTGAATTATGCCCACCATTAATTACCACATTTTTCAGGTTTCTGCCTGATCTTTCCTATTTTCTTTACCCCTGCTCTCCACCCATTAAATTGTAGGGCCCTGTGGTTTTTACCCTTGCCCATCCTCACCCCTCTGATCTCATCACTTCTTCCCTCAGATCCCCATAAACATTTTACTAGTTATCCTTCTATTTTTACAATAATGGTTGTATGCAGTATTTGTCCTTATGATACTGAGTTAGTTCACTCAGCATAATACTCTTTAGTCTCTCCCAGGTTAGGTAGTGTTTTTAGACATTGTTGTTCCTGAGTGCTGTGTAGTATTCCATTGTGTGAGTATTTCTCAATTCATTAACTCGTGGTTGGACATTTGGGCTGTTTTTGTATTCTTGCGATTGTGAATAATGTTGCTATGAACATTGGTATACAAATCACTGTTGAGTCATATGGAATTTCAATATTCAGCTTTTTTAGGAAATGGCAAATATGCAGGGAATTTTATGTGCAGATTTTGGAGGTGTTTATTTCATGTATTGTTTTTATTTTGTTTTGACTACTAGGCTCCTGCTTATCATCTTATTTTGGAAGGCATTCTAATTCTCTGGATAATTAGACTTCTTTTCTCTAAAACTTACAAATTACAAGAACGCTCTGATCTCACAGTTAAGGTAAGGGATCAAGTTTTATATAATCTATTATTGAAGTTTTTTTATATTTCTAAAAAAACCGTGTAGGTGCCTCATCTGTATACCATGAAAGGTGTTTTGTAATGTGAGGAAATTAAAGGGAGTAAAATAGGAAGGTACATAAAATAAAGTGAGGCTGGGATTAAAGTAAACTCGCAAATAAATGTGATGTTATGATCTTATTTATTGTGCTAAGGGTAAATAACATGAACAACTTCTGAATTTAGAATGCCAGTGCGTGAAGTTAAGCAAATTGCTTGAGAAAAGCACAGCAATTTTTTATGATTGAGGGAAACATTTCTCCGTGGAAATTTGGGGTTAGAAAGCATCCTTCCACTTCCAAAATGAATATTGATATGTTATATTAGAAAACAAGTGATTGGAGGGCTTGTGGAACTGCTTCTCTGAAATCTCTTACTATGAACAACTGAAAAGTCCTGTTCATTAACCACTGAAGATGCAGTAGGGGAGAAGTTTGAACTACATTGTGGTGTTTGTGATTTGGATGATTCCTGATCCAGCCCGCAGAACCTTGTGATGGAATTTTTTAAGAGAAAAAGTACTGCACAAAATGCCCATAAAATGATCTGCAATTTAAGAGCACCAGAAACATTGTTCTTAGGTGCCATTCAGCCTATTACTCATTTGTTTGTTGTGGTTGTTAGGTTTTGTTATTTGAGCATGGCATATATATAGTGGCCCTAGGAACAACAGATTCGAATCCTGTTCTATCCTGTTTTATTCTCACTATCCCTGACACACTTGGCGCCCATGGCTGCAGTCACTGTATCAATCCATCTCATATAATGACCCTAATAGATGGTATACCAATTGACATATTTCAGCTAACAGATGCTGCCCTGGATGTGCTCACCAAGTTGTGCCTAGAAATCTGGAGAACAACCACCTGGTCAACTGACTGGAAGAAATCTATATTTGTTCCCATCCCAAAGAAGGGTGACCCTGTGAAGTGTGGAAACTATAGAACAATATCATTGATTTCACATGCAAGTGAAATTCTACTGAAGATGATCCAAAACCGACTGGAACAACACATCAGCAGAGAACTGCCAGAAGTCCAGGCTGGGCTTAGAAGGGGTTGTGGTACTAGAGATATTGTAGCTAATGTTAGATGGACCTTAGCTAAAAGCAGGGAGTAACAGAGGAATGTCTATCTGTGTTTCATTGACGATGCAAAGGCGTTTGACTGTGTGGATCATAAACTGTGGCTGACTCTGAGAAGAATGGAAATACCAGAACACTTGATTGTGCATTAGCACCTATACTTGAACCAAGAGGCAGTTGTCAGAACAGAGCAAGGAAACACTGCATGGTTCAAAATTGGGAAGGGCGTACGCCAGGGATGTGTCCTGTCTCCATACCTTTTCAACCTGTATGCATAATTATCCGGGAGGCTGGGCTCTATGAGGAGAAATGTGGGGTCAAGATTGGTGGAAGATCTATCGACAATCTGCGATAAGCAGATGATACAACCCTGCTTACTGAAACTGAGGAGGACCTGAAGTGCTTGCTGCAGAGGGTCAGGGACTGCAGCCTACAATATGGATTGAGGCTCAATGTCAAGAAGACAAAAATTCTCACCACTGGGCCAATTGGCAGTATCAGGATGGAGGGTGAAGAGATTGAGATTGTTCACAGCTTGGTTCACAGTTTGCTTGCTCCACAGTCAGCTCTCTCGGCACCAGCAGCCAGGAAATTAGAAGACGTATTGCCATGGGAAAGTCTGCTGTTAGGGACCTCTCCAAAGTACTGAAGAGCACTGGTGTCTCTTTGGAGACTAAGGTGCGTCTGATACAGGTCATGGTCTTTGCTATCACTTGTCATACCAGAGAGTTGGATGATGACTAAGGAGAATAGAAGGAGAATTGATGCCTTTGAGCTGAGGTGCTGGAGAAGAGTATTGAGGGTACCATGAACTCCTAGGAAAACAAACAGATTCATCCTGGAAAGGGTCAAACCGGGCTGCTCCTTGGAGGCAAGGATTCTAAGGCTCTGTCTAACATACTTTGGACATGTTGCAAGGAGGAACAGGTCCTTGGAGAGAGAAGGTCATCATGCTTGGTAGGGTGGAGGGACAGCACAGAAGGGGAAGGCCCCCTTTGAGGTAGATTGATTCAGTGACTGGGGTAATCGGGATGGGTGTGTCGGAGACAGTGCGATTGGCACAGGACAGAGCAGAGTTTATGGATGTTGTACATAGGGTCACTATGAATTGCAAGCGACTTGGTGGCACATAACAACAACAACAACAACATGTAACAGATTTGAACCTTTCCCTATGCTACATCATCCTCACCACCCCTGCCATGCTTGAGCCTATTGTTATAATTACTGTGTCCCTCCGTCTTGTCAAGGACCTTCCTTATTTCTTTCCAGGTTTCTCAGTATGGTATCTTTTTTGAAGGACTGGTCTCTCTTGACAGCGTGCCCAAAGTATGTGAGACAAAGTTTTACCATTCTTGCCTCTAAGAAGCACCCTTGTTACCTTCCTCCAAGACAGATTTGTGATTTTGGCAATCTGTGGAATATTCAGTAGTCTTTTCCAACACCACAGTTCAGAGGCATCACTGCTCCTTCTGTCAATTTTATTCATTATTTGACTTTCAGATGCATAACGCATAACACATAATTGAAAAGACCATGACTTGGACCAGGTATTCTTTAGTCTTTAGACTCTCATCATTGCTTTTAACTCTTTAAAGAGGTCTTGATGTTTTTCCGGTGTAACTGGTCTTTTGATTTCTTGACTGCTGCTATGATGATTATTGATTTTGGATACAAGTAAGATGAAGTCATTGACAACTTCATTCTGTTTTCCATCTATCATTATGTTGCCTATTGGACCAGTGGTAAGGATTTTTGTTTTCTTGATTTTGAGATGTAATCCATATTGAAACTTTGATCATCTCCATTACATGCTTCCAGTCTTTTTCAACTTCTGCATACACACCACAGATAATTGTTTCCAGGGTTTTATTGACTGTGACCAATGCTGTTTTAATTGTTAATATTAAACATTTGGACAGTATGCCCTTGGAGATACACATAATTAATAGTAATTATACAGCAAAATACTTATTTTTTTGTTGCTGTTGTGTGTACTCTCAAGTTGGAACCAATGCCTAACCTACCCTCCAGTGAGTTTTCAGTGACAATAAATTGCATAAGAGGAGATTACCAATCTTTCTGCTGTGGAGGAGCTGATGGATTTGAACCACTTTCCTTTGGATTTACAGCATAATTTCTTACCACTAGCTGTCAGAGCTCCCTAAATTGTTCTTAGGGCAAATTTTGGAAATCTGAGTTAAGCAGAGTGAAATAGAGTTCTTATTCAGTAATTTTTTTTTTCTTCTTTTCAGTCGTGGTACTAAGAATATTGTAGCTAACGTTAGATAGACTTTGGCTGAAAGCAGGGAGTACTAGAGGAATGTCTATCTGTGTTTCATTGACTATCCAGAGGTATTTGACTGTGTGGATCACAACAAACTATGGCTAACTCTGAGAAGAATGGGAATCCCAGAACACTTAATCGTGCTAATGCGAAACCTATACTTGTACCAGGAGGCAGTTATCAGAACAGAGCAGAGAAAGTACTGCATGGTTCAAAATTGGGAAGGGTATATGTACCCCAGGGATGTCTTCTATTCCCATACCTTTTCAACCTATATGCAGAACAGATTATCTGGAGGCTGGGCTCAATGAGAAGTGTGGCATCAGGATTGGGGGAAAATTCATTCACAATCTGCATTATGCAGATGACACAACCCTGCTTGCTGAAACTGAAGAGGACCTGAAGTGCTTTCTCCAGAAGGTCAAGGACTGCACCCTTCAATATAGATTTAGCCTCAATATCAAGAAGACAGATTCTCACCACTGGGCCAGTTGGCAGCATCAGAATGGATGGTGAAGACATTGAGATTGTTAACAGCTTTAGTTTGCTTGGTGACACAGTCAGCCCTCTTGGCACCAGCAGCCAGGAAATGAAAAGACATATCGTGATGGGAAAGTCTGGTTTTAGGGACTCTCCAAAGTACTGAAGAGCAGTGGTGTCAGTCTGGAGACGAAGGTGCGCCTGGTACAGGCCATCGACAGTAACTAGGGAGGATGGAAGGAGAATTAATGTCTTTGAGCTGTGGTGCTGGAGAAGAGTATTGAATATACCATGGACTGCTAAGAAAATGAACAGGTTCATCCTGGAGAGGGTTAAACCGGGCTGCTCCTTGGAGGCACGGATTCTGAAGCTTCATCTGACATACTTTGAACATGTTGCAAGGAGGGACCGGTCCTTGGAGAGGGACATCATGCTTGGGAGGGTGGAGGGACAGCATAGGAGAGGAAGACCCTCTATGAGGTGGATTGAGTCAGTGACTGGAGTAATGGACGTAGGTGTGTCGGAGACAGTTAGATTGGCACAGGACAGACAGATCAGGGTTTACGGCTGTTGTACATAGGGTCTCTATGAGTTGCAGGCTAATCTACAGCACATAATCACGATAGCTCATGGACATATGAATCTCCACTTGGAGGAGTACCCTTGATTTTCTCATAACTCTTTTTTTTCTTTAAGTGATGGACAATCTTACTTGTAAGAATGGCATGCCATAAAACTGTCTTTCAGAAGTAGTATTGTGGTACAACTGTTGTCCAGGTCAGAGATCCTGTGTCTGTGGTCTTTTCTCACATTTAGGAACATGCACATACTCATGTAGAGAGCTTGAAGGGTGCTGTTTATGGAAAGGCATTTAGTTGTTAACTAAGAAGTTAGCTTTTAATACCTTCCAGCCAGTCAGAAGGAGAAAGATGAGATACTCTGTAATGATGATGAGGGACTCACCTATACCCCTGGAAAATCTTGAGGCAGTTGTGCTCTATCTCATGAGGTTATAAATCATAATTAATTTGATGGCAGTGAGTTTTGGTGGGATAGATTATGTGTGGCTATAAAAGACATTCTTGACCCAATGGGTGACTGGAATGCAAAAGTTGGGAACAAAGAAGAAGATTCAGTAGTTGGAAAACATGGACTCGGTGACAGAAATGGAGCTGCAGAGAGAATGATCGAATTTTGCACAATCAATGACTTATTCATAGCAAATACATTTTGTAAGAGACATAAACGCAGGTTATATACCTGGATTTCACCTGATGGTATGCATAGGAATCAGATCGATTACACCT